CATAACGTCGGTTAAGTTCCTGTCTTTTCAGTCTAGTGTGCGGATTCCACGTTAGTCGTCTGCCTAGGAGAAAACCAAGGTACCGTACTGTGTCGGAGAAGGGAAGCTGGATGGTATTAAAGTAAACTGGTGGATAGGAATTACGACGAAGGGTGAAGGTTATATGTTTACATTTCTATTCATTGACTTTGATGCGCCATTTCTTGCACCAGTGTTCAATCAAGGATAGGTGCCGTTGCAGGTTTATAGATGCTGTTTCAGGGTCTCAGTTAGAAGATAGGATCGCAGTGTCATCAGCGAAAGTTGCCAGGAGTGTATCGGGATGGACGGGAATGTCAGCAGTATAGATGATGTAAAGGATGGGACCCAAGACGCTGTCATGAGGAACTCCAGCCTCAATTGAATAACAGTCGGAAAATTCTGTACCACAGCGATCTCGAAAGGAGTGGTCGGAGAGGTTGGATTGGAGTATTAGATATAAGGACTGTGGTAGATGGGATTTGAGCTTGAAGAGCAGTCCGGCGTGCCATACGCGGTCAAAAGCTTGCGCTATGTCCAGAAATTCACTTGAGCAAAACTGCTTGTTTTCTAGGGCTGAGGATATGTGGTCAACAACTCGGAGTCCTTGTTGGGCGGTAGAATGTTGGGAATGGAATCCGAATTGATGGGTAGAGATTTTATGGTAGTCTATTATGGGTAGGATTCTTTTCAGGAGGATCTTTTCAAAAATTTTTGAAAGAATTGGGAGTAGGCTAATTGGTCTATAGGATGATGTATTATTGGGAGGCTTGCCTGGTTTCAGGAAAAGGATGATGGTGGAATGTTTCCATAAGAGAGGGAAATGGGTAGTTCGGGGGATACAATTGTATAAATATGATGGCTTTGGATGGTAGTTGTAGGATCTGCGGGGTTAGGTCGTATCCAGGAGATTTACGAGGAGTGATTTTGCGTAATAGGTATTTGACCTCAGAGGGATTAACTGCTTTAGGTGGTAAGGAGAGTGGGATAGGTGAAGAAAGGAATTCTTCTACTTTTACTGTGTGGGTAGGATGAGATTCTAGATGGGGAGTGAAGGTATAGGAAAGGTGCTTGGCAAATTCCTCGGTTTTGTCTACATCAGACGCTGCCCAGGTACCATCACCTCGACGAAGGGGATGGGAAATATGATGGGATTTAGGATTCTTTTGGTGGTATTCCAGAGGGAATTATCATGAGCAGAGAGTGTGGTGAGGTAGGAGTTGAATGATCGGGATCTAAAGGTGGCTAATTCTTGTTTTAATTTTTTACAGTGATAATTGTAGGAGTGGCGGTCGGCAGGATGTCTGGTGCGTTGCCATAATAATCTGGCACGGCGTTTTATATGGATTAGGTCAAGGAGGTGTTAAGGTAAATTGGGTTTCTTGAGGATTTTTGAGGAATGATCAGGAGAGGAAGCCGTCCATACTGCTTCCTAGATTTTAGTCGTAAAGGAATGAACAGCATTGTCCAGGTCTTCAGAGTTTTTCAGGGTTGCTCTGAGGTCAATTTTATTGGAGAGGATTTGATGAAAGAGTTTCCAGTTAACTGGACCTCTGATGAAGGATGGTTGAGAGGGTTTAGGAATAGGAGCTAATTTTACTTGGAATATTAATGGGCTGTGGTCTGAGGAAAGCTCATCAAGACATGCAAGGGAATGGTGGAGGGTACCTAAACCTTTGTGGATAAAGAAATCGAGGGTATCAGGATTACGGTTAGAGTCAGTGGGCCAGTAGGTAGGTGAATTGGGAGGAAGGAGGGTAAAACATTGATAATTAAGTGTAGACAGCAATGTTCGACCACGAGAATTCGTGGTTCTTGAACCCCATTGTTGATGCTTGGCGTTTAAGTCTGCACCCAGGATGAAGTGGTTTCCTAAGGAATTTAGAAGAGAGGTGAACTGGACATTGGAGATGGAAAGGTTAGGAGGGCAATATGCTGATGCAATGGTTACAGGAAAGGAAAAGGTTTTGATTACAACTGCAGTGGATTGTAGGAAATCGTGATTGAGCAATGGGAGTATGTGATGAGAGAGAGATTGATGTACGATGGCAGCAGTACCGGCATGTGCTATACCGTCAGGATGACCGATAACGTCTGTCCGATATGTTAAGTACTGTGGTATTTTGAAAAGCTGTTTTCTGGTCAGTCGAGTTTCTGTAATTAGGGCTACATCAATGTTCTTGTCTAATAGTAAGGCTGTTAGTTCGTCTGTGTGATTTCTAACACCATTCGCATTCCATAGGAGAATGGATATGGGTTTGATAGAAGTCATTTAAGGATTTTTTAAAGGAGGAATGAGATGAGATACCAGGTTTGTAAGAAGTGATATCAGTGGAGTGACAAGGGATTTAAATTTGGTAAGGAAGGATGTCAATAAACTAGTAAGATCTGTGGCATTAGATGGTGGGGGAACGTGAGGGATTTGATATTGGTTAGGTTGTTGAGGTTTAGTTAAATTAGGAGGGATATGATATTGAGGTAAGGATTGAGTTGGTTGTTCCGGCAGGGCCTCATATTCATTAGTCGGGTCTCTACCTCCGAGTAAATTAGCAAAGGAAACTTTAGAGTCCACGATTTTAGCGGGTCCTCTTCTTTTTTTAGGTCTAGCATCGTGGTTCCGGGGATTGTATCTAGCTTTGAGGTTTTTATAGATTTTACAACCTTTATAGTTGGCCAGATGACCCGCCAAGCATAGGGCGCAGACCGCTGGATTTTTTATTGGTTTGGAACATTCACCAGATTTGTGTGATTTACCACACTTCACGCAGCGTGGCATGTGGTGGCAATATGACTTAGTGTGGCCGTATGCCTGACAATTGTGCCACTGGACTATTTCTTTTTTCGGATATGGTTTTTCAACCTTTACAATGGTATAGTATAATCGATGTATGTTGTATATTTTTTCCACCCCTGGTGTTGGCTCCAAATCCACAAAAAATAAGGGCAGTGGAATTTTAGTTTTTACTCCTGGCTGGTCTCTGTTTTCTTTCAGAACGTTTGTTATTTGGCGAACATTGAACCCTAATGCCGTTAGCTCATCCTTGATAACCTCAGTTGGGGTTGAGGAGTGTAAGTTTCTTATCACTACTCTTAATGATCTATCCTCCCTCAGCTGGTATGTGTGAAAATCCGTACCTGTTTCGGTCAAATACTTGATTATTTTTCGATAGGCTTCAGGTGTGGCCAGTGTTATTTTTGTGTCACTAGTCCTGTTAAGGCATGAAAAGCTATCAGGACAGATTTTATTTAATTGGGTACATAACAATTGAAAATTTCTAATATTTTTGATAAAGATCGGAGGAGGCCGTGGTTCTCTAGGTATCAGTGCAGAATCCATCTCCTCTCTGTCATTTTGAAGCACCTGGTATGGGTTGGGTGTAAAAAAAAAGGAGACTCAGAGACCATTTGTTGTGAAGAGGTACCTGGTTGCGGTTGAGGTGTAGAACCTTGAATTTTCGCTGGAGGAGTTCCAGAGGGTGTCGATTGCTTACTGCGACGAGTTTTTTGTTTAGGTGGTGAGTTACGAGGGGTGGAGCCAGCAGAACAAGACCTCTTAGTGGACATCACTTGATGAAAATATCGCATCTAAAAAAAAAATAATAAAAAAAAATAAAGAAAATAAAACTTCGTCTGCGTGTCCTTAATCTTGGCGAAACGACGACCACAGCTCCGTCCATCCTCATCCGTGGCAGAGTCTGCTAGAGTGGGGAGTCTCAGACGTAGCAAGTAATGGCAGATAAAGCGATAAGGCACCTCAGACACTCGCTTCATTGTCTATAGAATACACAGTAAATATCAACACTACTCATTGTAGTATTAGTCCATTGTTGTTGCTGCTGTGTTGATGTCGGTAATTTTTAAGTAAAAATAAAGTAAACTTTTTCCACTTAAAAAAAGAGAAACTGTGGGAGATGATGTAGAAACGTGGCAAATCAAATCTAGCGCATGCGCAGAACTCACTTGTTTTATTACTTATAAAATTCTTTCTTTTTTCTTCTGAAAATCCACATATTTTCTCCTCCTTTTTTCATTTTATCAAAACTTGCTCCTGTAATTTGACACTACTTTTTAGTGTAATAATCTAAAACAAACTTTCTTTTATAAAAAGTAAAAAGACACTATTTAGTTTTACATATTTTCTCAGGGCTAAATTTATTTCATTACTGAAAAAACATGACAATAACAAAGTTAAAATGAGAAATAAAAATTTTTTTACCTTAATTTCTTTTCTCTCTATCATCCTCCATAGTATGTGTACTGAGTCAGTCTAGAATACAGCACAGTGAAGTTGAAATGAGGATGATAGAGAGAAAAGAAATTAAGGTAAAAAGTATTTTATTTGTCATTTTGACTTTGTTATTGTCATGTTTTTTCAGTAATGAAATAAATTTTGCCCCAAAAAAGATGTAAAATGAAATAGTGTCTTTGTTTTTTAAAAAATAAAGTTTGTTTTAGATTATTACATTAAAACATAGTGTTAAATTACAGGAGCAAGTTTTATAAAATGAAAAAAAGAGGAGAAAGTTTTTGGATTTTCAGAAGAAAAACAAAAACAAAGCATTTTATAAATAATAAAACAAGTACCACCATAGAGTAGTATTCTATATAGGGATATATTATAAGAAGAAATTTTTAGTAATAATGTTATTTTAATGTTGACTAATGTTTTGTTTTGTTGTTGTTTAAAAAAAAAAAAAAAAAATTAAAACTGGCTCTTGGAGCCGAAAGGTTAAAAAATAATAATGTTTTAAATATTGTAATAATGTTTTAAAATTGTAAGTAAGGACTGTGAGATTAAATATCATATGTATAATATTTTTTTCTTTGAATTTAGAATCAGGGAATTATAATAGGGAAAAAGAATTGCGATTAACTCTTGATATCGCCCCTTCCTCTACTATAGTATATTAACTTAAATTTTATTTCAAAATCAATTTATGTTATTCTATTTTGAAATTATTATATTTAATTTTTTTTTTAAGCTGATTGAAGTTTATTCGAGTGGAAATGAATTTCAACTTGAGCTTCCATCTGGAGATTTAGGTGGCCCTAAACAAATTTGGCAAATACCAGCTTTTCTAACTAAACCAATAATTAGGTTAAAATTTGATGCTACATCTCAGAAAAATCATTCTGCTTACATAAGGTAAATCTTATTTATTGTTTGTGAAGTTTATTATAGAAATACAACTTTATTGATCTCAGTTTCCACATTATTTACTAATTGTATTCTTTACTTAATTGAGGTGTTTATTTTTAATCCTTAATAGGATTCAAAGATTAAATACCTATAGTTTCACCTTAAATAAAAATAGTTTCACCTTCAGTGATGGTCCTATACTTTAATGTAGTATTTGTTAGTACTTATATGATATATCTTATGTATAAGATCTCCGAGGCCTATCTGGGTAGAATGATTATATAGATAGGCTATAACTCCAGAATTCTTATCTCAACTTCCAAATGATAGCCGGAGGATGACCCATATGTTTGGGTTGAAACGTCGTCTAACCCAATAAAAATATCTTGACTGAAAATTTTGTTTCATCTTTTTCACTTATTTATATTTAAAAAATAATCTAATAATGGTAAATTAAGTATTTGATTATATAGCAAAATGTTTATGAATTTATTATCTAGTTTAATTTATTTTTCTTGTTTAGATTGAAAGTTGATAAAGGTGATGTACTAATAGTACCTGTTGATGTAGAAGTGGGAGCTTCTTGTGGGTTATACGCACCTGATGATCTTATTGATTTTGGTATTGGTGGAACCAGAGATCCACCAAAAGTTATTAAATTATATTTGAGAAATTCATGGAAGAAAGCTATTACTGTTCAGGTAATGGCATCTCATTTTAAATATATCTTATGATGTACCACTATTTATTGTATCTCAATATTTTTTATATCACTTATTACATTTGTTAGATAATTAACTTTTTGAGGGAGAGGAAGTGGGAGGAGGAGAGAGAGATAGAGAGAGATTTTGAAAACTTTTATTAATTTTTTTGTTTTAGTACCTTATTGGTCCACCTTGAGCATTAATTACTGTCTGAAGATGACATAGGCATACTTCTTACTAGCATTTTGATGCTGTCTTGAGGGATCGTCTCCCATTCCTCTAAGGGTGTTGTATGCAGTTCATCTAGAGTTTGTGGAAGGGTATTCTGGCCTGAAGTCCATCTTTGAAGTTGATCTCATCAATGTTCAATGGGATTTAGGTCTAGAAAGCAAGCAGGCCAATCCAGGCAGCAAATTTCTCGATTTTATAACAATGCATTTACGAGTCTACCTCTATGAAGTGTAGCGTCATCATCCACAAAAATGAATTCTAGTCCTATTGCTTCTGTCATAGGTTGCTCTGTTTGTGCTTAGACCCTGTCGAAATAATGCTGAGTAGTCATTGTCTCATTTCCTAACACCCCAAGCTCTGTTCGAGAGCCCGAGAATATACCGCACCACACTGTAATTGGGCCTTCTCAAAATGGGTAAAAAGGCAAGACCCAGGGAAGGATTGTATTGCTAGCCATACTTTCTGGTAACTCTTACTCGGTTTGAATCATGGTGTAGTACAAATTTAGACTCATCTGTGAAAATGCAATTATCCATGGAACTATCAGTCTCATGGTATTTGAATTCGAGTGATTTGAAGTCTTTGAGCTTTATGTTGTGGGATGAATCCTGGAGATGGCAGAGGTCTTCACTGGTGCAATTCATGCTCTATCATCCTGCTTCTAACTGTGTGAAGGCTAATTTGCTCATTAAAGGCAGAAAACAAATCATCAGCTAGCTTTCGATAAGTTTTAAAGTGGTTTGTTTGAGCCCGGGCAGTCTATTTGACTTTTCGACAGTCTATTTGGAATCGTTGGTCTTTGTCTTGTTGTACTGTTGTAGTTCAGCTTCGTAGCCTTGTTGCCACATTTCTCTTGGTATCACCTCCTTCCATAGCAGCAACAGCTGTTACAAGTTCTACTGCTTTAAGGCATTGCACATTCTTTAATATCCAGAAAAACTTTTAAAAAGGGTTAATAACAAATATTAAAAACAGTTGGTGAAAAAAAAATATGATTACGAGAAATAAAGTTTTGTGAACACTAGCTGCAAACGAACTAAACTGAGGATAATCCCCTCTTTCGTTTATGTTTGAGAGAGTTTCTTTCAAAGGTATTAGCCCATTGTGAGTGTAAACAATCAACAGGTGTCAAACTGGAAAAATATTGATTCCTCAAAATTTTATAAACAGTTAATACAATGATCCACTTCATTTGCAAAGGAATATAGATCAACATTGGATCACATCTTTGCTGTCAGAAAAATGAGGTCCATGTCGCTGGCCCGGCACCTATGGCATTTCGAGTTGAAACCTATGCCAATATTTAGTACCTAATTTGTACCTCAAAAATTAGAATGTGTACCCCTCAGGAACCGGAGATATAACGCTCGTAAAAGTGCCGGGCCAGGGACATGGTAGCCCGGCACCTATGGAATTCCGAGTTGAAACCTGTGCCAATATTTAGTACTTAATTTGTACCTCAAAAATTAGAATTTGTACCCCTCAGGAACCGGAGATATAACGCTCGTAAAAGTGTCGGGCCAGCAACATGGTCAAATGACATATCGATTTTTGAGTTGAAACTTATGCCAATATTTAGTGTCTAATTTGTACACCAAAAATTAGAATTTGTACCCCTCAGGAACCGGAGATATAAAGCTCGTAAGAGTGCCGGGACCGGAAGTTCCATCTCCCTGGCCGACACCAATGGATTTTCGAGTTGAAACTTATGCCAATATTTAGTACATAATTTGTACACCAAAAATTATAGTTAGTACCCCTCAGGAACCGGAGATATAAGGTCCATGTCGCTGGCCCGCCACCTATAAAATTTCGAGTTGAAACCTGTGCCAATATTTAGTGCCTAATTTGTACACCAAAAATTAGAATTTGTACCCCTCAGGAACCGGAGATATAAAGCTCGAAAGAGTGCCGGGACCGGAAGTTCCATCTCCCTGGCCGACACCAATGGACTTTCGATTTGAAACTTATGCCAATATTTAGTACATAATTTGTACACCAAAAATTATAGTTAGTACCCCTCAGGAAACGGAGATATAAGGTCCATGTCGCTGGCCCGGCACCTATGGAATTTCGAGTTGAAACCTGTGCCAATATTTAGTACCTAATTTGTACTAATTTTTACCTCAAAAATTAGAATTAGTACCCCTCAGAAACCGGAGATATAAAGCTCGAAAGAGTGCCGGGACTGGAAGTTCCATCTCCCTGGCCGACACCAATGGATTTTCGAGTTGAAACTTATGCCAATATTTAGTACATAATTTGTACACCAAAAATTATAGTTAGTACCCCTCAGGAACCGGAGATATAAGGTCCATGTCGCTGGCCCGGCACCTATGGAATTTCGAGTCGAAACCTGTGCCAATATTTAGTACCTAATTTGTACTAATTTTTACCTCAAAAATTAGAATTAGTACCCCTCAGAAACCGGAGATATAAAGCTCGAAAGAGTGCCGGGACTGGAAGTTCCATCTCCCTGGCCGACACCAATGGATTTTCGAGTTGAAACTTATGCCAATATTTAGTACATAATTTGTACACCAAAAATTATAGTTAGTACCCCTCAGGAACCGGAGATATAAGGTCCATGTCGCTGGCCCGGCACCTATGGAATTTCGAGTCGAAACCTGTGCCAATATTTAGTACCTGATTTGTACTAATTTTTACCTCAAAAATTAGAATTAGTACCCCTCAAAATCCGGAGATATAAACCTCGAAAGAGTGCCGGTACCGGAAGTTCCATCTCCCTGGCCGACACCAATGGATTTTCGAGTTGAAACTTGTGCCAACATTTAGTACCTAATTTGTACACTAAAACTTATAATTAGTACCCCTCAGGAACCGGAGATATAAGGTCCATGTCACTGGCCCGGCACCTATGGAACTTCGAGTTGAAACCTATGCCAATATTTAGTACCTAATTGGTACTAATTTGTACTAGAAAAGTTAGAATTATTACCCATCAATAACCGGAGATATAAAGCTCGTTACGTATGCCACATGGTGATTCGTGGCCGAACTCGAATGGAATTTCGAGTTGAAACCTATGCCAATATTTAGTACCTAATTGGTACTAATTTGTACCCAAAAATTATAATTATTACCCGTCAGGGACCGGAGATATAAAGCTGGCATAGTGCCGGGCCACGAACATGGTCAAATGACATACTGATTTTCGAGTTGAAACCTATGCCAATATTTAGTACCTAATTGGTACTAATTTGTACCCCAAAAATTATAATTATTACCCGTCCATTTTTACAGTATTCATCTAGTAAATTTATATTACTCTGTAATGTCGCTGGATGTGAAGATAGGAGAACAATATCATCCGCAAAAGCTAGATACTTAATTTTACAATTTTTCTCTACACAAATACCACCATCTAATTTTTCTTCCAAATCATATATATAAAGAAAATAGAATCGGACTAAGCAAACAACTTTGTCTTACACCCGATTCCATACTAAATGGTTTCTTCAAACCCCAAACTGAAGCATTAGTATAGCTAAGTCAAACTTTTAATTGAATTAATTAATTAAGATGAAAATCCTTGCTGATATAATTTATAAATTAGACTATAACGATCCACACTATCAAATGCTGTAGAAAAATCTAAAAAAATGCTTACACTTTTTCTCTTTTCTTTTGTAATTTTAATTTAATTAGACTCATTAATGTGAATATGTTATCGATTGTTGAATCTTTTTTTCTAAAACCAGCCTGAGCTTCTTTAATTATATTGTTTTCATCAATCAAGTCCAGACATCTAGCCAAAATCAAGCCCCTATATAACATGGCAATTGCATTAATGAAGGAGATTCTCCTGTAATTAGAAGCCAAATTTTTATACTCTTTTTTATATAATAGGAAAATAATGGATTTTTAAATGTTAAAGGGACATAGCCCATTTTAAAAATTCTATTAAATGTAGCCAACAAATGTTTAAAAAGGAATTGGGAGCATACTTGTAAAATTCATAAGGGATCCTATCACTTCCTGGTGCCTTGTTATTTTTGGAGTTACCCAAAACCACTTTCAACTCACAAGAGAGAAGGCTCTATCTAAAATAGCATTGGTAATATCAGGTTTAACGTATAAAATTCTGTTTGAAATTAACGGAGGGTTGTACAGAGTTTTAAAGCGCATAAGCCAATCTTGTAATGATATATTACCTACAGACCAGTAATTATTTTTTCTAATTACTTTTACAAGTTCCCGAAATTCTGTACTGTTATTAACCTTATTCAGACGTTGAACAGAATCTATATAATATTTCTTCTTTTTTTAATAAACATAGACTTTTATAAGTACTATTTCAATTTAAATACTGTAATTTATTGTGAGGGGACGAAGTTTTTCTAAATAACTTTAAACTTATAAATGACATCTTTCTAGCCTGGAAACACTCCTTATCAAACCATGGATTTTTCCTTTTATATACTGGCCTTGGATAAGGATTATAATTAGCAGACCTCTTGATGATATTTTAGAGAATGTCCATCAAATCTTCTACCGAATGCTCATTTACAGATAAACGTTAACTAAACCATCCACCCTAGACTGATAAACTAACTCATTTTGTTTCAACCAATTAAATTTTGGGAGAAGTGGTAAAGTAGACTATTGAATTACCTTATTTTTAAATGAAGATATGCGTGGATGAAGATATGAAGATAAAAAAAAAATACATAAAAAGAAAACCACATGTTTCCAGGAAAATTAAATCAAATGTCCTAACTGAACGTAAACTTATAAAGTTATTT